TTTTTTTTTTTTTTTTGATGTATGGTTTATTTATAATTACGTTATTTTAAGAAACAAATCAAGGTTAGATTTTTCTTTTTCGTTTCCATTTTGGCTTTATGCTAGCTTCTGCAAAAACATGGAAATAATCTATTACTGAGAACTGGAAGAGTAAATCCCTGCCAGAAAAGCAGAAAATGCGCCTGCACAATCAGATGTTCATTCAGATATTAACAAGGAAAAGAAGGGCATGAATATTTGGCCATATGGCTTGTTCTTCCTCTCCTGGATACGAGTTCAAAATTTTAGCTTCCGTAACTATAGATCATAGCCTGTCTTATGTAACATAAAAGCTCCGGACAATGAAAAAAAAATGACAGATTTGAAAAGGCTGATATTGCTGACGCAATTTGGTCCAGATTACTTTGCACTTACATGATGTATGTGAAGTAGAAGGCTCAATACATACGTTTATAGAAGCTATACATGTTTCATAAAATGGTTTAGCAATGTCTTCTTTAAATAGATATCTAAGCATTGGCATGTATGGCTTAGCTCAGTCCTCCATTGATTTGTTATCCTTATCTTGCAGGAAAGGGTACACAATATTGATTAACACGTGGAAGAGAAATGATCTTCTGCAGAAATCAATTAATCATTATTCACGATGTGCTAGAGTTGATTCCATTCACATTGTCTGGAGTGAGCCTGATCCTCCGTCTGATTTACTCTATAAAGTTCTAGGGGAGGCTGTACATTCAAATTCTGATGGTGGCGACAATGTTGAACTCATTTTTGACTTGAATCAAGAAGACAGTTTAAACAACAGATTCAAGGAAATCAAGGATCTAAAATCTGATGCTATCTTTTCAATTGATGATGATATTATTTTCCCCTGCAAATCAGTAGACTTTGCTTTCAGTGTATGGAAAAGTGCTCTGGAAACAATGGTGGGATTTGTTCCACGTATGCATTGGTTGGATAACTCGGTATACTAAATTCTCCCTCGCCATTTTTTTCTTCTTGTTTATTTTTATTTGGATCTGCAAACCCAGGATTGGATGATATCTTCAACATCTATGTGAATAATTCCATAAAATTAACACGCTTTAGATAGACGAGAAGCACAATTGTGTCTTATAAGGCTGTGTTCCTTTTGATTTTTTTGCATCTTATAATGGAGAACATAACCAATACCACTTAATTTTCCCTCAATCTAGGAAAGGAACTACTTATTTGTTGTTTATTTTTCTCGTATGCTAACAATTTCTTTATTCAAACTGCTCAAATCCAAGTAGATGTTGACAATGGAAGCCTATTTTGTACTTCTCAAAGCAGACAATGTTCTTCTGTATGAAGTTCATCGATAGGAACCTGCAATAACTCGATTCTCTTACATGTCTCCACATCTTTTACTTCCATAAAGTTGAAATTATAATCCTACTCGGCATAGCATATGAGAATTTGTTTTAACCATGTGGTTGACTTTCCGTTTCAACTAGTGTATGAATGACGATCGGTAGGTTCTTCTTTTACACTGCTTTCTTTTGCAGAATAGTAGCGTAGATCAGTATTTTTACGGTGGGTGGTGGTCAGTCTGGTGGACAGGCACTTACAGTATGGTTCTTTCCAAGGCCGCCTTTTTTCATAAGAAATATCTGCATTTGTACTCTACAAATATGTCTCAATCTATACGAAATTATACAACAAAAAATAGGTGATTGTGACTTCAATATAACAATTTCCCCTACAATACGATTAGACTCCTCACGACAAATTCCACCTATTGCCTACAGAAACTGTGAAGATATCGCCATGGCTTTCCTCGTGGCAAATGAAACGGGAGCTCCACCAATATGGGTGAAAGGTGAGGAAACGCATGCATGATATTTTCATTCTCCAAATGGGATTAAGGAAATTGAGAAATGCTTGTAATTGGTTTGCGTTTTTTTTTTTAAACCAGGAAGGATATTTGAGATGGGATCGAGTGGAATTAGCAGCCTGGGAAGCCATGAGGAGAGGAGGACGCAGTGCCTCAACGAATTTGCTGCTATATACGGCCACATGCCTTTGATTGCAACCAACGTGAAGGTCATTGACAGCCGAAGCAGTTGGCTTTGGTGATTGTATTCCTGTTAAGTGTTTGTTTGAGATGTTGAATAAAAGATGCAATGATTTATTGTGCCATTATTTTGTAAATCAAATGTGTGCACTTGTAAAGTTGCATGCAAGACTCTTAGCTAAACCTACTTATTTATTCGGATATAACTTACCATTGGAAACAATTTCTTATCTCTCATGAAAATTTAGAAGGCACAATTTTAAATAGATGCAAGTTTTAAGATACCAACATGTGCATTATGTACATTTTTACTAGTGAAAAGAAAATTGATGAATTACAACTCAAAATTAAACAAGATTATAATACAGACGTCTAAAATAAAGAATCAACTAAGAACAACTAGTACGTAGCTCAAATAGACTCAACTATTGATGAAGTTCATGTCGTGGAGACAATCAGTCAAAAGTGTTATCCACATTAATTTTCATTCAAAGTTTTGTGAATCTGTTTTGACGCATGTAAAAAATATGGAGAAATAAAGGTTCTAAAAAAGTCAAAGACTACCCAAATTTAATGGGGTAACTTGCGGCTCCATGGTGATATCTGATAATATTTTTTAAAAAACTTTTTTAATAAAAATATTTAAATTTTGGGTCTTGGCTTTAGCTGGTAGAGCAGGTGGCGATGCCAGCATGAGCGTCATAGGGAGATAGGAGGCTTGCGGGAGATAGCGGGTGCTAGTCTGAATGAAACAAAGTCGATAAGTTTAGAATACCTAAATTGAAATCTATATAGCTAAACGAGGCGGATGCCTCGTCTTTGTCTAGGCAAAGCACTCCTTATTTAGTACCTCATCCATCCCAAGGCGGAAGCAAAGCACAGATCCTCAAAGCTGCTTGTGTCGTGATTGTGCAATGGGCCTCTAATTGCACCATTTTAATCACCCTTCATATCTAACCATTCAAGCTCAAGGCAAAATCTAAGAAGGATCTGAAAGAAAAATCAATCGATCTGGTCATTCAAGCTCAAGACTACCCTCAACCAGGTTATGCCGTCCTTTTAAGAATCTTTTGCTCAAAACTAAACCTTTAACAAGCAACTCCCAAAGCATCAATCATCGCCGCTTACCCAATAACTAAGATCATTAATACTCTTCAATCACCTTAGACTAAAATTAAGTTCCACATATTTTACTACAACCTAGCCCTGTCACATTTCCAAATCTATCAAATTCTCCTTTTCCTTGATCAACAATATTCGATTGTGTGGAATTTAGGAGGAACATTCTTAAAGGAAAAACTCTCTAATTTTCTCATTGAACTAATAAAAGCAAATAATAAATATATACAGCTTAGACTAACTCTCATACAATTAGAGGGAACCTTTTATCCCACTAAGCGGGGTCAGCTACATAAATCCTTTTTCTCCATTGCGTCCTATCGAGTGTCATATTTTCATTTAATTCTAATAAATTAAGATTATTGTTTATACAACATGCCCAGTTCTTTCTAGGTCTACCCCTGTCTATCTTAAAATAAGTCAAATCTAAAACATCTACTCTCCTAATTGGATCATCAGATGGTCGATGTTTAATGTGACCAAACAATCTAAGATGACTCTCTCTAATTTTATCCGCCGTTGGAGCTACATCAACCCTATCACAGATATATTCATTTCACATTTTGTCTCTAAGTGTAAAGGCCAACATTCAGCACCATAGAGCATTTCAGGTCTTACCATCTTATAAAATTTTCCTTTCAGTCTAAGCGGTACTTTTCTATCACACAATAAGCCCGAAGCATTTCTCCACTTCAACAAACCAACTTGAATTCTATCCTCATCTATATCACCATCACTTTGAACAATAAACCCGAGATATCTAAAGCGTTCACACCTTTTAATAATTTGATCACTCATAATTACACCTCTGTCACTAGAGCTACTACTACTAAAATTACATTCCATGCATTCAGTTTTAGCTCTGCTCAAACAACGGCTCACGGTTTTCTAAATCATGGGTAATTAATAAGAATAATTTTTCCCTCTCAAATGTAGCTGCAGGCCCACAATTTCTTAAACCATGGGTAAGCCCATTTGATCCACTAATATGCATATCAACACTCTCCATCAAGTTGGGTTGTATATGGTGTACATTCTAAACATGCTTCTAAGATCACTAAAGTGGTGTTGAGGAAGAGTTTTGATAAGAATGTCAGTTATTTGATACTAAGTTGAGATATAACTAGTTAGACAACCCCTCCATTCACCTTATCAGAAATGAAGTTTTTATATATTTGGTTCGATCATGGTATACAAGATTCTTTGAAATATTGATAGTTGATTGACTATCATTGAACATCTTAATAGTAATTTTGTTCTCCATGTATAGTTCCACCAGTAATTTCTTTAGCTACACCCCTTCACAAATTCCTAGGGCCAAAGCATGATACTCAGATTTTGCACTATGTTTTGTCGCCATAGCTTACTTTTTGCTTCTCCAAGTAACCAAGTTACCCCCATACAAATGAACGGCAACCCATGAAAGATCTTTTGTCAGACAGTTTTCTTGCCCAACTATCATCAGTGTAGATCTCAATATTATGGTTCTTAGTTTTCTTAAATGTCAATCCACATTCTGGAGTCATCTTTAGGTATCTCAGAATTTGAAAGATCGCTTCTAAATAATCTTTCATTTGAATAGTTCATATGGTGGCTCACTACACCCACAAAAAAATAAATAAATAATGTCATGTCTTGTATGTGACAGATAAATAAGTTTTCTCACAAATCTTTGACCCTTTTTCAACTTGGGTGTTCTCTCCTTTTGATGCTCATTAATTGGGATCCATAAGAGTATTTGTTGGTTCATGTCTCCTTTAATAAGTCAAGGATATATTTTCTTTGTGATGACAGTGCCTTATTTAGATCTAGATATTTTATTCAAAGGAAATATCTTAAAATTCCAAGATCTGTGATATCAAACTTAGAAGTCATTATTCTTTTGATTGTTTCAAGTTATCTTGTATCATTGCCTGTAAAAATAATATCAACATATACGATAAGGATGGCTATCATACTTTCTTGATTTGATTTCATAAATAAATTATGATCAGTTTGACACTGATATTACTCATTGATAAGAATAATCTTGGTGAACCTTTCAAATCATTCTCTTGGAGATTACTTTCAACTCATATAATGATTTTTTTTTTGTTTGCACACTAATTGATTATTTGTGTTAGTACATTAATCTTGGAGGTATCTCCATATACACTTCTTCCTTAAAATCCCCATTAAGAAATGCATTTTTAATGTCTAGTTGATGTAAAAGTTAGTCATGGTTTATTGTCAATGACAGTAATAATCTTACTATGTTGAGTTTCTCCACTAGTGCAAATGTTTCCTGATACTCGATCTCATAGGACTGAGTGAAACCTTTTGTTACAAGTCTAGTTTTGAATCTTTCTACGTTCTCATTTGTCTTGTATTTAACACTAAATACCCATTTTGCACCCACAGTTTTTTTTCAGGTGACAAAGTTGTTATGATCTAGGTGGCATTCTTTTCATATGTAAGAATCTCTTTTCCACAGCCCTTTTCGAAGCGGGAATATATAAAGTCATTTAGATTGAATTTGGGACGTACACATTATCCAAATTCTAAACAAAAGTTTTGTACGAGGATAGTTTTTCCTATGTCACAAATAATCTGTCAGGTGTTTTGTGCATTCTTGTGCTTCTTCCTCTTGGTTCTCGTGATGTGTTGACCCAACCTATGTGTGAATATTTGGGGTGTGTGGAGTTGGTTCTGGTGATTTGTATTTCTGATTTTATATATTACCTCGTACATGCTCACTAGGTTTTTTTTTTCTTTCCAATGTACACCTTAAATTTTTGGTTCTCAGTGGAAGCTGTGGAAGGATTTAGTAGAGCAGTTGGTTCATTTTCAGGTTGATTTTTTATATTAGAAAGAAAATGGGTTCATCAAGGATATAAAGAGGTGAGCTTGGGATTCCTGAATGGTACCCCAAATCTGATATTTTCTCCACTCTCCCCCTAAATGTTAGATTTGAGATAATATGATTGATTTTCAAAGAAGATGACATCCATGGAGTTGTAGAAACTGTGTTTTTATAGAGTAACATTTATACCCTTTTTTTTATCTAAAGAGTAGCCCACAAAGATGCATTTGATTGACTTAGGATTAAGTTTGATTTAATGTGGTTGATGTAGATGAACAAAAAAGATGAAACCAAAATTTTTAGTGATAGGTTCAAATGTGACGAACTAATGTGTGGATGAGATTTTATGAGGGTGTTAAGAGGTTTGTTATAGTTTAGCTTTCTGTTGAGCAATCTATTTATGAGATAAGTGGATGTGATAATTGCATCCCCCAAAAATGTTTGGGTACATTATTAGTGAATAGAATTGAACGAGCCATTTCAAGGAGATGTATATTCTCTCTTAACCACACCATTTTGTTGGGGTATCAACACTATAGCTTATATGAATAATGTCATTTTTGAACAAATAAGAGTCAAAAGTGGAGTTGTATTGGCCTTTTGCATTATAAATTTTGAGAATTTAAACTCTACTCTGAATTTGGGTGAGAATCACGTTTTGGAAGGTTCCAAATATGTTGATTGTTTTGGATTTTTTTTTCACGAGAAATGCCCAAGTGGTTATGATGTGATCATCAATGAAGGTGGCAAGCGACCGAGCCCCGTTTGTATTTTTTTATTTATGGGAGATCCCGAATATCACTATGAATCATAAAGAATGGATGTGTTGGTTTGTATTTCAGACTTGGATACACTTGTTGAGTATGTTTAGCAAGTTGACAAATATCGCACTAATAAAAACTAGGCTTCCTATGGATGAATAAACGAGGATAAAATTTTTCGGTATAATAAAAATTAGAAAGTCCAACTCAAAATGTCATAACATAACTAGAAAATCATGAAAAATAAACTCAGATAAAAGACTTGACTCAAGGAATTGAGAATGGTGGGACGGTTTTTTGAAGTGAGAGTCCTAGTTAGCAGATAAAGTTCATGAAACATATCAG